TTGTTTATTTGTTTGTATTAAATACCGTTTTTTATTTACACGCTCATGGGATTAGAAGGATACTTAGTGTGGAACTCGCCCCACAAGGTCCCATGCGGTTCGCAAAGTGGGACGCGCATCCCCTCATCATACTATCGTCAGTGCGTCAGAAAAGTTGGACTTAATGCCTCTGTGAATCATGAAAAAGCCGCTTCGATGACAGGAATCACGGCGATAAGTGAGTCATTCTCTTCAGAAGGTGAAGTCTGCTCTACTGGAGGAAGAACAGTTCTTTATACTTTGAGTCTTGAAAGCACTACTTTGCTTTCTTTTTTCTCGTTCTGCGTTTGTTTTTCTTCTTAAGATGTATTTGGCGAAGAGAAAAAATCGCTCTGAGTAAGAAAGACCTCGAGAGAAAGCAAAGTAAACACTAAAACATAAAAGACAAAAAAATTACTCTTGCAACAGTAGAATCGCCTACATCGAGGGAGTCGTTAGTGACTCGATTTTCGCCATGGTTTCTTACTATTGGAGCATATTTCCCACTTCAAGACAATCTTCCCGTAGAAATGAAGAAGCCTCCTTAATTTCTACGGGAAGATTGTTTTGAAGTTTCTTTAGCACTCGCCGAACACAATCCTTTGTGAAGCGTGTGTTCTGAAGAAGGCGCGACATCAGACAGATTCGGTGAAATTGGATGGTTTTCGACGATATCGCAGGATAAGGGACATTGTGGTGGCACTTTTTAACCGCGTGTCCCTTTTTGTCAAAAACGGGACCAGGAGGGATTCGTGTCAAGAACGGGACCAAAAACGGATGAAGGAGGAGATGTTCCGTACTTGGGAACATTTTCTATTTCGCCGATGTTCCTGCATCTCCTGGGCTCAGTCCTGGAGAATGACGCCGCGACTTGCAACAGAGTCTGGCTTTCCTACACTGCGGCACTCATTTTGACCGGAAGGCAGAGAGGAACTTTCAGAGCTCTCCAGTTTCATCTCCTACAGAGTCGTTGAAGAAACTGTGAGAAACTTCGTAATTTCGGTCCATATCTCTCGCCATTTGACCGCGTGACAATTTTTGCCATTTCTCGAGAGGATTTTCATATTTTGTAGCCCACATGCGATTCTTGACTTGAAACTCGACGACTGGTGCAAGGCCCGGTGTTTGCTCGCTCTAGCCATAAGCACAGAATGAGACTAATGACCGCGACCGCCAAGTTAACTGATATATTCCCATCGAAGTTAGAATACTGAGTCACTGAAAAGATAAGTGCCCTGCGCAAACAGAGCTTGCATCATTTCAGAAACTCTTGCCGACAAAAAACCCTCGTTGAACTACGCTCTCTCTCAATAGTACTGGACCCCTTGAGTCCACAAATCGAGAGCATTTCCCCTCTCATTTTTTGTGTTTGACCGGCTGTTTCTCCGCACTGTACCGTAGTGCCCTCGATCGGCTATAAAAAGCGCTCAGAAATCACAACTTACCCAGACGAGCTGTACATTCCACAATGAACTCCATCAAGTTAGTTACTCTTCACAAATTGCCTTTCTTCAACTGATGACGGTGTTTTCAGCTTCTCACTGCTTTTGATCTCTTTGTTTGCAACAGTCGCTCAGGCCTACTTGGTAAGTTAAATAGTGATTATGGGTTGGTGTGAAGGTTATCTTGATGAGAGCCTTCTTGCAGACTTACTACTACTACTATCCCTCCAACAACAACGCCAATAACGCCGCCACAACGTACTACTACTACCCCAGTAATAATGGATACAGCAACTACAACACAAACGGATACTACTATGATAGTGGTTAGCGATTTTTTTCTTGATTTTTGAATTTTTTCTCTTTCCTTTCTTATTTTTACCCTCTTCTTCCGCCCGTAGTATTTTAAGGTAACAGCGTTACCGCCGAATTAGTTCATGAAAGGAAGACGCATAAGAAAAAACGTTTTTAAAAGGCAGAAACCATCGAATGGCTTTATTTCAGGCTCGTCCAACTACTACAATCCTTACAACACCTACACCTACAATACGAATGGGAATGGATGTAGCAATTGTGGAACAAATGGTTACACTCCTTACTATTACTATTACTACGGCAGAAAGTAAACAATATTTGTTGTGTTGGTATATGAGAAAACTAAAAATCAATGAAAGACTTATGATTTGGCTCTAGAATGAACAGAATTTCGAGTGCTCTATATTGCAACCCTGAAAATCAGACAAGTAAATGTGCAAAAATTTTTGAAATGTGGCGGATTTCCTAATGAACAGCGATCGAAGAAGGCCTCGTGTCGTTGTCAAGTTTGGCGAGTTTAAGGCAGGGTCAACCGTCCGTTGGACAAAGTCCAACGAGGGGTCGTATTTGGCCGACCGAAAGGGGGGGTCGTATTCGCAAAGGTCAACGTCGCAATACGTAGGTGAGAGGCATAACTTTCGAGTGCTTCTCCAACTATTAACCACAAACGAGTGCATGGCGCACCTCAGAGCAGAAGAGTCTACTGCAGAAGTGTCCATATTTGACTGTTCACGTACACAAATATGCTCTCGAGGAGAACCAATGTCTTCAAACTGGACCTAAGTTAGTAAAAGAGTGACCACTTGGGTAGATTGACTGCTAAAGGCTTACAAGAAAAGTTTGGAAAAAATATTTGCCTGTCGGCGACTTCCTGAAAAGGTTTAGTATCTGTTATGAAGCACAAAGCTTGTGCGATGTCATGGTATCATTATTCCCCATAAAATTGAGTTTGAAGAGAGCTGTTAGTGTTTGACTGTTGAAAACTGTGTTTTCAGGAGAGTAGCTCCGAAAATTCATGAAAAAAAAACGGTCCAACGGGGCGATTTTTTGAACGGGTCATTTTGAAAACGAGATCAATTGGAAAGCACTAACCTTCTATTCTTCCAGGGAAAAGAGTTGCAAAAAGTTGAATATGAAGAAAGTTATAACAGTTCAAAGCCAAAAAACCAGCGCTCTGCAAAAATCGGTCCGCGATTTCCCCAAAACGGTCCAACGGGGCGATTTTTTGACTCCATCAATTTTGAAAAGAGTTCAAGTATTCGTTAGAAAGCTCTAACCTTCTAGTTTATCCCAGGGGGACAAGAATTGCAAAAGGTTCATTCTGAAGAAAGTTATAGTCATTGAAAGCCAAAAAACCGGTTCTGGAGAAAAAACGGTCCAACGGGCGATTTTTTGAGAAAAGAGACTTTGCAAAAGTTCAAGTACTTTTTAGAAAGAAAACAATCTGGACTTTCAGAATTTTCTTACCACTTATCTCACTTTCACTTTGAAGAAAATTACAACCTTTCAAATGAAGAAGTGCGCATTTCTGTGAATTCTTGTTTCTCTACCCATAACTAACACAGTTTTGAAGATACTGTACAAAAGTGGTAGTTTGCTGAAACTAGCGGTCTCGTAGATTACAAATCTCCTTAGTGTTCTAAAAAATGTTGACGTTGAACAGAAATACACTTAAATGAAAATTAGTAGTCTGCCTCGATCCATCCGGCGCTGGGCCGAGGGGAAGATTTTGCGCGCCAATGCGAACACGATGCTACCGCGCTCAATCTAGTAACGCTCGATGTAGTAGTACGAAGCAGTACGCAAACATACACAAATACCAAGTGTACAGTACATAATAAGTGTTTGGGGGGGGGGTCGTATCGAGACTCGCTAAGAGGAGGGGGTCGTAAATTTTTCAAAATTGGTCCAACGTGACGATTAACCCTGGTTCAAGGGTCGCAAACGATCAGCACCACGTAGCGCCACCACGAAGCGCATGCACTCATCAGGCATGAGGATGTAACTCTCGAGAGCAATTCATTTCAGAAGGTATAGGGGAAGGACACAGTAGAATATTTTTGCATTTCGAAATGGAAGTTAGGTTTTTCTGAGGGATCTCCAAGCCTAAGAGATTATGCTTTTATTGCATAATCAATATCAATTAATGCAATAAAAGCATAATCTCTTAGACTCTCTTTATCGCGTTTATGCACTAGCGTAAGCTTTGCACGGAGTCCCGGCATCGTATAAAGGGACGGCCAGATTCCCTCATTTTGCTCATCGCTCCCGCCTTAAAAACTCAACTCCTCATGTAGGACCTGGCAAGCTTATATCCACTTCTTCGGACCTCAGGCAGTGCAAACCGAGTTGCGTTCGCCGCCCACTTCAGTGCCTGCACCACCAATAATAGCAAACGACATTTTTCCTCTGCACTCCATCCACTTTTGCCGGTCTCAAGGCAGTCTGACCAAGATATAAAGATTTGTAGAAGAAAACGCCCGTTTGGGGACGTGACGGAGAGCTCCATCATCGCTGAGCTCAGCTTTTCCTCTCGTCTCCGGTCCATGTTAGTCGCTATGTGCAAAAACTACTTGGGCCATGCTGTTCTTGGAGCCCAATAATGGCTTCCTATTGGGACTTCTACTTCTTCTCCCTAGCGTTAGTCCCGCAGTCGCAGGGTCCGCTGTTTTGTCAGTCGTCGCCACTTCGCTCTGTCCAGGGCATCTTCTGCGTGGCCGTGACTTCACTTAGGTCCTTCTTGATTACGTCTTTCCACCTCTTCTTTGGGGCTCCTCGCGGTCGCTTGCCTTGCACTTCGAAGTCCATCGCTGTTCTTATCGGATGGTCCTGTGGCCTCCTTAGCACATGCCCATACCATCGCAGACGCTGTTCCCGTACCTTCAGCTGGACAGGGGCAGTCTGCATGACCGCTCTGACGTCCTCGTTTCTAACCCTGTCCAGCCGCGTCCAGCCGCAGGCCCATCTCAGCATCCTCATCTCTTCATCGCAGGACTTACCACTGCATTTAGCCAGAGCTCACCTTCTGCCATCAGTACTTTCTGCCACTTTCTGCACCTTGGCCTGTAGTTCTTCTCTGCTATCCGCTATCAGGGCGATGTCAGCGTAGAGGATGGTCTTCAGTGGTCCTTCCATGAGCCCCTTCACCATGACATCTAGTGTTAGGAGGAAGAGGAACGGGCTCAGAGCTGACCCTTGGTGCACCCCAACCGTGATGTTTACCTCCTTTGTTAGGCCATGTGGGGTGCGTATGGCTGCTTTGGCTCCTTCGTACATGTCCTTCACCAGCGAGATCAGGTGTTCTGGCACGTTTCGTTCCCTGAGCGCTCTCCATAGTACTGCTCGCGGTAGCCGGTCGAACGCCTTCTCCAGGTCGAGGAAGGCTAGGTAGCAGGGTCGGCGCTTTTCTCGATACTTCTCCATCACTTGCCTGGCGATGAAGATGGCATCCGTTGTAGACCTTTCGGGCATGAACCCGAACTGTTCCTGGGAGATCGGGACCAGCTCCCGCAGTTTCGAGTCGACCAGGCGCTCGTACAACTTCATGGTATGCGCAGTCAACTTGATACCGCGGTAGTTGGAGCAGTCCATCGCGTCACCCTTCTGCTTGAAGATGGGGACACCAAAAAGCGGGTGAGCCACCTCACCGTGCTCTCCCAGCGCCTTCCAAGCCTCTATGGGTACTCCATCTGGACCAACCGCCTTTCCAACCTTCATCTTCCCAAGTGCACACCGAACCTCATCCTCTGTCCAGAGTGCGATGGGACCAGCTGTGGCCTCTGCCCGTGAGTTGTTCTTGTGGGAGAACTCCTCGTTCAGAAGACCCTGAAGTACTCTTCCCACCTCCTCCGACTTCGGCTGGCTTCCTCAGGATGGCGCCGTTGCTGCTCACGCTCTTCACCACCCTGATATCTTGAGTAGCCCGATGCCGGGCTTTGGCCAGTCTGAAGACGAACTTCTCTGCGTTTCTGCTTTCCAACTTCTCGTACAAGGCGTCCATCTCCGTGTTCTTCGCCTTGGCTACGGCGGCCTTAGCGAGCCTCTTGCAACTCTTGTAGGTAGCGAGGTCTCGGGGCTCCGGGTCTTCTGCCAGCGCTTGTATGCTTCCTTCTTCTGCTTCACGACTCGCTGGACCTCCTCGTTCCAGAACCACGCTGCCTTGTCTCCTCTGAATCCACCTCGCGTCTCGCCCAGTACCTCCTTGGCGCATCGTAGGATGGTCTCAGCTGCATTGCCCCAAGTCTGCTGCACTGGTCCCTCAGGATCTGGGAGACCAACTTCCATTATCCTTCGTTTGAGGTCACTCTTCTCTGCTTGGTGCAACTTCCACCACCGGATTCTCCTCTCGGTTCTTACCCTTGTCTTCTTGGGGAGGTCTATGGCTATGTCTGCCAGGAGGGGCCTGTGCTGGGGAGCCAGTCTTCGCCAGGGAGTACCTTCACAGTTTTGAGGGATGATCTTCTTACCAGCACATGGTCGATTTCCGTTGTCTCCCTCCACTGCTGTAGGTTACCTTCTGAGTCTCCCTTTTCGCGAAGAACGTGCTGCAGATTGCCAGATCGTGGGCTGTAGCCAGGTCCAGAACCCTCTCTCCCTCGGCGTTCCTCACTCCTATTCCTCTACCTCCGTGCACCCTTTCAAGACCTCTTCTGTCACTGCCGACGTGGCCATTCAGATCACCTCAAATGGTTAGCGATAATATTTCGTCAGATTAAGTCGAGTCTGACTTGTGATGTGTATGCTAATATCCGAAGCTTGCAAAAGCAGATCTGAAAGCCGAAATTCTAATTGGTTGCTCCCGAAGAAGTCCGACCAAAATGAATCCGAAAACACTTGTTGCACGCCAGATTGATGACTTTCCCAAGCGGTTAAAGGCCCTGCATTATAACTTGAGAAGGTAGATTCGAACGGTAACGTTACCTCTATCGAACACTGGCAACAATTGTTAACAGTCAGGATCCAAATTGTTGTTTACTGGTCTGGTAATTTTCATTAATTTGAGCCCACCCTGATTAATGAGAAACACCTCTGACTCGTACATTGGCTGTGAGGAAGCCGTCGTAGGAAGTGTTCGGAAGTTTGAATCAGGGTACGATGCGGAGCACATTGTGAACCGATTAATGAACCATCCTCCTCTATTTGTTTTTTGTTTACTTTTGTGCTTTTCTTATAGTTT